TTTTTTTTTTTTTTTTTGCTAACAGAGCAATCACTTTTGGTGATTTTTTTTTTCTCTTTAGATGGAGCTTAGATCATGAAGACCATGTCCTCCCTCATTAACTGACCTTTATTCAACTTGCCACATTACTGGTCACTGTGTGTGTGTGCACGCGTGTGGGTGTGTGTGTGTGTGTGCGCGTGTGTGTGTGACTGTGTGTGTACATGTATAACCTTGCACACTTGTTTTTATTCTTCTCTGCCTTCTATATGGGTATTATCCAATAGAAATATAATGTGAGCTGACTATACAGTCACAACATTTTAGTAGCTACATTGAAAAAACAGAAACAAGTAAATTTTCAATTTTTGTTCTAATTTATACAATTTTTATCATTTTGACATATAATCAATATAAAATATATGGCAGTATTTTACATCCTTCTCTTTTGGTACTAAGGCTTTCAAATCTGGTGCGTATTTTACACTTATAACAAATCTCAGTTTAGGTTGGCCATGTCTGCCATGTCCAAGTTAATAAAATATTAATGTCTATTTTGCATTTTTGTTTTTTGGCACCAAGTTTTTGAAATCGAGTATGGGTTTTACACTTAGAGCACATCTCAGCTTGGCCTGGCCACGTTTCAGTTGCTCAGTAGCCACATGGGACCAGTGTCCACTATCCCGGACAGCACATCTTGGGTTCTCCTTACTCCGCCACACCGTCTGATCCCTGACCACACAGGCAGAACTCAGTGTGTTACACAATGGTGCTGCGTGTGTGGGGACCCCTTGTGTCTATGACTCACCAATTTGGGTCATGCAAGAAACATGACAAATGGCCTGCGTTCCTTCTGAGAGAGAATGTCATCTACCAGTTTTAAGATCTGTCTTCATAGAATGGGAATAATATTTCTTAGGCAGCTAATTTTTCAGGAACTCTAATTCCCTCTATCATGATATGAGGTATACATTTAGTAAACATTCTTTGCTTCTATTCTCCCGAGTGTTCATTTCTCAAACACACAACAATAACTACCATCTGTGAAGTACTGCGTATGTATAGGGACTGTATTTCTTTTTTTTTCTTCATTTTTGTTTCTCCCTTTTCCCTATCTCATTCTGCAGTTCCTCTTCCCATGTCCACAGAGTCTACTTCCCTATTTTTTCCCATTTTCGTTTTATTTTGATATGCTGTTATTTTTTTCTTTTTTTGAGACAGGCTCTCACTATGTAGTTCAGGCTGCCCTGACACTCACTGTGTAGCCCAGGCTAGTCTTGAACTCACAGTGATCCTCCTGCCTCAGCTTCCTGAGTGCTGGGATTACAGGTGTGCACCATGACAACTGGCTTTATTTTGATATTCTGTGTCTTATTATTTACATATATAATGTTGTAGTCAGCAGGATTGGGCCAGGGAATACATTCACTACAGGACACATAACTTACAAGGTTCTTCTATGATAATTACCCAAAGAGTCAAATACAAAGGAGTGTAAGACATTAACCACACACTAAAAGCCCAAAACATTCAACTGAGGGCCTGGATCCCACAGTGCCCCACACAAGTCCAGCTAAAGGCTTAGAGCCCAAGGCAATGTCCTCCTCAATGCCAGCCAGTGACCTAGAGCCCACGGCAATGTCTCACACTTGTCCGTATTGAGGATCTGCACCTGGAAGCCCCTAAGGCCAGTGGTGGAAGCCAGAAAATCTATGCTGGTGAGATGAAGGATTTGTACCACTAGGCTGAGGGATCCACACTGGAGCCAGGAAGTGATGCTCACGATAAAGGTCAGAGTTCCCCTGATGAAAGCAGCGGCCATTCCTAGAGACAGTGAGGTCCCGGAGCTTCTCCTCCTATGAGAACAGCCAGGTTCACATTGGGAAAACCATGTGCCCTAAGCTTCTCCTAGAAAATCAACAGGCCCAGATCTTCCCCTCCAGTGCTCTTTTTATGGCTACTGGTAACGATTGTGTGACTCCTCCACTCCCAGACCACGCCGATTCGGTTTAGCTGGGTGTTACAAGTTGACCTTTAGTTGATCCACTATGTATGGTTTCATTTACAATTCAGGATAATTCTTTGAGTTATTATTACATCTGTTTTATAGGTGAGTAAACTGAGGTCTCGGAGGTGTTGTCCAATGTGACATAGCTACAATCCTGCAGAGGTGAGATTTCAAGTTGGATATCATTGGCCTCAAATCCAAACTTCTGTAAATTTATGCACAGTGGGTCCCAGCTACAGTATTCTAGAACTGGCAGTAATCCTAGAGATCTTGTAATGAGATTTCTTTGTTTTATGGGAAAATCCAAAAGCCAACCCCTGGGGCTGAGAAAGGCTGAGTGGTTTCTCCATTAAATACCCAGGACTAGGACTTGGGGCTTCT